TACTCACAATGTATTCTGCGGACTTAAAGTCCTTTAATTGAATTTATTTCCGGCTCCTTTGGCTAGCCGGCATTCTTTTAATCACATGACCAATTGTATCTATGCTTTTCGTATGAATTATCATCATTTATTTTTAATAATCACCAGAAATGGCAAAATCTGCCCATACATGGATGAGAAATCCACTGTATGTATTTCCAATTTTAGATACAATTGAATACACAAATCCGGTCACAACATTGCATGTGAAAAATCAAGTCTGCAATCACACCAATCAATTGCAAGATTTTGTAAAGTACAGTCAGGTCTACCAAAAAATTAGCGCTTAGAAGTAATCGTTAGAACTAGGTGCTATGTTAAATTACTTTTTTAGAAAATTTTGTATGTCTTGTTTTTTATTTTTGGTAAATGATCTTTCTTAAGATAACTTTATTTGGTAATTTCATATCACAAATCTTAACTGATTGTATGTGGTACTCTATAAAGCACTAGGTATTTGTGCTAAAGCAGTACATTTGAAGCGAGTCGCTAGCTAATTGCATGCTCAAAAAATTTTTCACTTGTCAAATAACTGTTGGTTATATAATAAAACTGAATTAATGAACAAAAAAGGCATAAATCCCTAACTCAAAATTATAAATACATTTATGACTAAAAAGAAAGAAAAATAGTAAACTGATCAATGCAAGTAGTGCATTAATTATTATAGTAAACTGATCAGCACAAATGGCATATTAATTACTTCATTTGCATGCAATAATAGAGAGTGACTATTTATATCATTATTTTTTATTCTACTAACTAAAAGCAGTAATTAATCAAAAATTTTATATTCCATATTATTTTACCAAAAAATATTATTCCATTAATAAAATTTAGGAGAATTAAAAATTAATTAGTTTAAAATTTGCTTCCAATTGACAAGTTTTTTCATAGTTTTTTTTGTTATGTAGGAATTGACGTCTCCAAAATCCCTGAGGACTAATAAAACTACCTTAATCGAAATATTTTAAAAATAGTAAAATATTCATTTAGACTAGTTTCTGATGATTCAAATTACTTTATTATAGCTCATATAAAGCAAACAATTGTCTGTTAAATTACATAACGCGATTAGTTGGGATGATTTTTAATTAAAATTTTTTTACACATTAAATATTATTTTTTATCCCCGGCCAAAGACCAATAAAACTATCCTAATTCTAAAATATGTATAAGCATAATAAAAACTTTGCTTGTCTATATTTTTCTACGAGTTATAATATTTAATTAATCATAAAATATGTAAAACTTTATAAATAAAGAAAACAATCCATTGGTTAGAAATAGAGATTAATAGCAAATTTATTGAATTAAAATATTACTAATTACTGTAATAATGAATCTGTAAAGTAAAAAAGTATTATTGTAATGTAATTATAAGATAAAATAAAAATAAAGTTCATTCTTATAAATAAAAAAAAAGAAGTATAAAAATATCTTTGCTCAACATCCATCCTGTTTTGAAACAATTTCGAAGTAAACATAGTCAAATAACAGAAAAAAAATAATAAAATACTCTTCCCTAATCTAAAAAACAAACAAAATAAAGAATAAACAAGAAAAAGTTTGCACAAAAAATAAAACTAGACTAGAACCAAAAAAAAATGATATCCATCTTCTGCACTATTTTCTTTATCAAAACTTTATCAGGAACAAATAAAGTTTGCAGTGGGACCGCCGTTTATAGAACTGGACCAAATGAATTTGTTGAGTACAAATTCAAAGCATTTTGATTTAGTGAAATGACTCTTGTCGAAGAACTAACAAGACACAGCATATCATTAATAGTTGGATGATTTGTTTTTAATGATAAAGATCTAAATATAATAAATAAAAAATTTAGTTTATATATATAATATTCTCACAAAATATTTAGCTGAAATAATAAATAAACTACCTAACTTCCCCACAGTCTAGCCTCTCTATAGTTATCCCTTTGACTACAAATAACTTTGTTTTTATGAAATATACCCAAATAGAAGTTAATCTCTCAAAAGCGTGGCAATAAAGAGAAATAGGTAAATAAAAAATTAATATATGAATCTAAATATGCTAATTTTTTTTTTTTTATTTTTTTTTTACTCTTAAATAATCTAAGGTTATAATCGAGCAAAATACTCCTCTCAATATCCAAACGATAGAAAACTTATTAACTGCATTCGACCTCCCCATATTGCTAGCATTTGGTATTTTCATGGCTGCTGTACAAGATCCTAGTACACAGATGGCAAAATGACCTTCTTTCACCTCAAAAGAGATGCTTATGACAGCATAATAGCATCCCAAGTTACCATGTCAGTTTTATACAAATATTATCCAAAAGGTCACCACGTGAATGTTGTGGAAGCTACCAATGTCAGCCAATAATCTCAGTTGCCAGAGAATTGGTGACATTAAAAAAATCAGTATGTGTAGCTTGCGAGGTTATTGAGTAGAGCTATCCTGGCCATGGGTCCTTGAAATCTGGTGTGGATGCTCTCTCATTGAAAAACAGAAGGACTAAAATAAAGAACTAGAAAAATTGGCAGAAAAACTTGACCTACCCAACAAAACAACCAGAAAGGATAAACAGCCCTATAGTGAAAGTGCTCAAGAAGAAAGCTCTTCACAAGCAAAAAGATTAAGAACTGCAGCAACTAATATTAATAAAGGTAATAAAATAAACTAATCTAAAATCTGATAAAAAAAAATACTCAGAGTAAAGCTCAAATTGTCAATAGCGTAAATTATCTTCACTCTTAAGTAATATATATATTATTATTTATAATCAAGAGTATATAATAATATATTATTATCTAATTAGTAAAGTGTTAACAGTAATAACTACATCACTATCCTGTATAGATATTTATACTAATAAAATAATTAATAATCAATTTAATATAGTAAGGGTTAAAACAATAAACCCATATTTAAAATAAAAAAATTCTTACTCAGATACTCACATTGTCAATTAAATTCAACCAAGTAAAAAACTGCCAATACTACAATAATTACATGGTTTTCTTGGTATCATGCAATTTGTTATACTTGTATTAACCAACATGTTAAATAATCCAGACTATAAAAACATAAAAGCCATTCCTCACTCACAATCCAAAAATGTGGAAGCTGATACTGATCTAAGACCCAAAAACATGAAAGCTAAAACCCAGAATAGGCTACACAACAATCAGTAAATGATGACCAAGATGACCAGAGTGTTTATGAAGAAATTCCTATTGATCAAGAAGATAAAGCACTATCCAACAATGCATTCTCCTTCTAAATCTATATAAATAGATTTAATATGAAAGAATGTTAATGCTAAATTTTATCTCAAATCAATTGTTTTCATTTTTATTGTTTTTTTTCTTAAATTTTTTCTCCCTTAATTATTTCCTCCTTTATTAAATTCTTTAATATAATTTCTCCAGATAATATTGTCATGGAGTTTACCAACATTCCGTGAACTTTTTTACTTTTACCTTCGGTCTTTAACTCGCTTGGCTATAATATACGATGACTGGAATATCATGCCAGATACTACCACCGATAATGTACTCACACAGATAACAGTTTATTCACTAAGAATAATTCAAAGAGCCAAAGTTAGGCATTTCCCTATTTGGATCGATGCCTTATATATTAATACTAATCGCTAATAATTACTACATCGTTCATGTAATACTAATCGCTTCTGATTACTATATTGTTCATACAATCACTATTTTAGACTTTTTAATTACATCGTGATCACCCGATATATTATGCATTAATTAGATCACCAATCAATACGTACCCGATCATGAGTCACTTGGGTATCATGTAGCCCTGCGACAATATCATCAATAAAACTTAATAAAATTATTTGCACTACCTCCTTAATCAACATTAAAAAAATAATAAATATAAATAGAAAAGATTAAACACCAAGTAATAAATTACGTGTAAATTACCATTTCGATTTCACACTAGTTGAAACCTACATTACAAAATTAATCAATAAATAAATTAAAAAGAAATAAAAAAAAAACTACAAAATAAAAAAACATAAAAAAAAATTATACTGATAAACAAACACATTTCTCTAGTATATAAGTATTCGACCATAAAAAAAAACTCTAATTATATTATTCATTGATATTCTATCCATGAATATGAAAGCAATGTTCTATCAAACTCGATTGAAACAAATCAAAACAGACAAGATACCACCATTTTCCAAACTTATATTTATTGCACTGAAATAAATCAGTTTGGCATAGCTGAACTTACACCAATATTACAACTTAACACACCTACAATTCTACCTATAACTTTCTCACAGTGGATACTATCTTCTTCATTAAAAAGACTTCTTCGCAAGTTTGAAACAAAAATATTACTTGATCATCCCATATCCCATGCTGCTACTGTTCAATTTTAATATTCTATTCTGCAATCTAATGGATAACATATAACTTGAATGAAGACTATACTCTAACTATAGTATTTCCTGACATTTCTCTTAAACTACGTCACTTTACCAACAAACCCACCAAAGTAGCCATCTGCAATAGCTATAAAAATCTAAAAACTAGAAAATTTCTACCCATTCTATTCAATATACCTAATGAAATAAGTTTAGTACCAATATATCACAGAAAGTATCTTTCTTCTATTTATATGACATGTTCATTAGGTCTCACTCCAGGATCAAATCTCTATACAACATATCGATTTTTACAAAGTGATTTTTTTCTAAGTAAAAATAGTTATTCACTCAAACTTTACTCTGGTAT